TATATATATATATATATTATTTTTTTGTATTTTCTTTTAATTTTTAAATACTAATACAATGAAATTAAACTAATGAAGTGGTAGTAAAAAGAATAGGTTAAAAATCTATAATAACTCAAGTAAATATTTAACATACTAAAACTAACTTAAAAATTGTGCGGGTCAAAAATTACGTGCTTACAGCTGTCCCTCTTTGCTTGAAAACACGAAGTATTTTTTAGCAAAGACACAAGTAAGCGACATAATTGATTTCTGACCCGACACTTATTCAAAAGAAAAGAAATATGGGTAAATGATTGTGACCGAGCCCTTATTTTGAATAGCTTACATATCCCGGGTTATAAGGGAATCAGGTCACGTGTAGTTCAACGAGAATGATGGAGTGATGAATTTTAGAGTCGATTGAGGTGACGTCAAGGTTCCGGTCAGTGGTCCTGTTATTACATCAAAAATCAAAATTAAAAAGTCTAACTAAGCCTATCAGCTACGAGTTACAAGATTCCTATCTATGAGTCTTCTAAAGTTTGATCTTGAGTCTTGGTTAGTTCTTCATGCGGACTCTGATCTGAATCTTGATTCTTGTTAGCTACAGGTACTGGTTTATTCTTTCACGGCTTCTTCATATTAAGACCGGACATGCAGAGCTTGTGACTTCAATCACATCTTGAGCATTCCACAGCTTTTCTCTGCTTCTGCACTTCGAGTTCACTTCTTTTTCTTTTCTTCTTTTTTTTTCTATTATTCTGGATTGAGACTTCTTCTTTTGGTTGTCTCGAACCATGTGCCTCAAGGTAAAACCTGCTCAGACACCAAAACAAACAAACGAATGAAATTTTTCAGGCCCAGTTTTCACTAAGAATATTTCGTGAGTTATTGTAACAAAATTCTAAACTACTTCTTTATTGAAAGCAATAAAAGTCAGGATTGTGTATCCTTGGGAAAAAGAGATTAGAGAGTAGAGACCCTATATCAAAAATGAAATCAACGAGGGATTGGAGGCCCTAAGTTGGAAAGATTACCATGTTATGCTGGCATCAACTAAAGAGTGGGACCCTATGTTGGGAAAAGATTACCAGGTTATGCTGGCATCAACTAGGGAGTGGGACCCTATGCTAGAAAAGATTACCAGGTTATGCTGGCATCAACTAGGGAGTGGGACCCTATGCTAGAAAAGATTACCAGGTTATGCTGGCATCCACTAGGGAGTGGGATCCTATGTTGGAAAGTGAGACTACTGAATTATATACCTATGCTAAAAATAACCAAGAAGGATTATTTTTTTCTTTTTTTCCCCTTTTTTTTAAAGAAAAATCATCATTTTTTTTAGAAAATCATTCTTTTAAACAAATTGTCCCAACGCTTTTTTTTCAAAGGCATGAACAAATGACCTCTTTTTTTTTCAATCGAGACATCATCTTTTCCTTTTTTCTTTTTTTTAGGAGAAAATTCATCAGACTAGGTTTTTATATCTTAGGAGAAAAATTCATCCTACTAAGATTTTAATCCTAAGAGAAAGTTCATCTTTTCTTCTTCTTCTTCTTTTTATTGGTATCTTAGGAGAAAGATTCATCAGACTAAGATTTTGATCCTAGGAGAAAAGTTCATCAGACTAGGTCTTCTATCTTAGGAGAAAAATTCATCCTACTAAGATTTTAATCCTAAGAGAAAGTTCATCTTTTCTTCTTCTTCTTCTTTTTATTGGTATCTTAGGAGAAAGATTCATCAGACTAAGATTTCTATCCTAGGAGAAAGTTCGTCAGACTAGGTTTTCTATCTTAGGAGAAAGATTTATCAGACTAAGATTTTGATCCTAGGAGAAAGTTCATCAGACTAGGTCTTCTATCTCAGGAGAAAGATTCATCAAACTAAGATTTTGATCCTAGGAGAAAATTCATCGGACTAGGTCCTTTTTGTTATCTTAGGAGAAAGGTTCATCAGACTAAGATTTGATCCTAGGAGAAAGTTCATCAGACTAGGTTTTCTTATCTTAGGAGAAAGATTCATCAGACTAAGATTTTGATCCTAGGAGAAAGTTCATCAGACTAGGTCTTCTATCTTAGGAGAAAGATTCATCAGACTAAGATTTTGATCCTAGGAGAAAGTTCATTAGACTAGTTCTCTTTTCTTTTTTGGTATCTTAGGAGAAAGATTCATCAGACTAAGATTTCTATTGGGAGAAAATTTATCAGACTAGGGCTTTTTATACTAGAAGGAAAAATGTGAGTGCAATGACAACATTTTATGCACATTAGCAAAGCAAATAAAGGCAAAGATTTGAGAAACTTCCCTTTGTCGGCTCTTCTCTTCTTTTCTTTTTCTTCTCTTTTTTTTGTTTGTTTTTTTTGAACCACTTTCCTTGAATTGCTTTGTTCATGTTTCACACAAAGAAAAATTTGTCAGTTTTGAAAATAGTGGTCGGTTTGTGGCCTTGAGTCTTGAGCAGCTTGGCTTTTGCTCGATCAGCTTGAGTCGGTTTCAAGAGACTTTTGCTCTGCATCAACCCTAATTGTTTCACACACAGTACCATTTGTAATTTTGGCTTAATCAACCTTTTCCCAACTGGAGATCTTTTCTTAGATGACCTTTCTGATATCTTGAATGACTTCCTGCTTTTTGAGCAATTTGTCTGTCAGAGAGAATCACCAGTTATCTTTGCTTGCGCCAAGTAAGCTGACAAGAGTCTTTTGGGGTGAAGCCTTTGCATGAATCCTCGAGTCATGTCGACTGTAACACCTGGGCGTGTTGGCCAAATTTACTTTGTGCAACTGAAAAGCTGGTAGCAGATTTTGAAATCTTTTCTTGCTTGTTTTTAGAAGGACTGACTCAGAGCGAAGGAGCACAGTGATGCAATGAAACAGTATTAACAAGAAATGCCCCTGTCGGAAGGATAGAAGGAAGAGTTTTTTTTTCTTTTCTTTTTTTATTTCTTTTTTCTTTTTTTTTTTCAATAACTAGCCTTAATGATCATGACATGCATTTTGGAATCAACGACCTGATCTATCAAACTGATCTAATCTTCCCTTTTACCATTCTTGTGACCTTTGAAGTCAGGCTTGTTAGTGCCAATCCTTTGCATCAGCTTCATGACTCACTTTCGACTAGTGGTGCCCCAAGAGGTTTTCACCAACAAGTCTCTCTCATTTATTCATCTCTGTTTACCGTCGTTTACAGTACCTGTGAGGGTTTTCACTAGTAAGACTCTCTCATTTTTCCTATTTCTTTTTCTCTTTCTTTTGTGAGCAACTTGACAGTGTTCTAGGTCGTGTGACAAATATTGCTCATTGCATGCGTATCTTGACATTCTTGAAGGCTTATTGGGAGGTCTTATTGGGAAGGTTTTTGGATAGGATTGTAAAGAAGGATCGGCATGAAGGCTCAAAGTAGACTCACTTCAACATTATGCATTTATAGCTACGAATTCTCAGCTACGAATATAAAATTTGTGGTTATTACGTAGTAATAGCCATAAAAATTAGAGTTTCGTGGCTATTCACAAATTGCTGAAATTTCTTAGCTACAAAAATTAAATTGGCAAAGCTAATACCTCATTTTTGCTATAATTAATTTATGCCGTGGCAATAACTGCCTAAATAGCTACAAATTTATTGCTACACTAAAATTTTGTAGCTAATTATTAGTTTTTGCCATATATTTGAACTACTGTAGCAATAATAATCTTTTAGCCACGACAAATTATGTCAAATAAAATATTGAATATTTTTGCTTCAAGTTATAAAAAGCATGGCAATAGTGGGGTCAATAGCTACGATGGAATATCATGGCAAAATAATATAGCCACGAATTTATATAGCTACAATAAGTATTGTAGCTAATTCTAATTTTTTGCTATGCATTTGATATCACTGTAGCTATTGTAATATTCTAGCCACAATATATTTGTTTGCACATATTTTATAGCTAAAAGAATAGTCTTGCTTCAATTTTCAAATCTCGTAGCAATTGTTGGGACATAATAGCTACATTTATTTGTCATAGTAGCTACATGTATTACAGATTCGTGTTGAAACCGTGATGTGCTAAATTTATATACAACATGGAATCTACATGGTCCAAAGATGCTGAAAACAATTCATACATAATTACAAAGGTGACTTACTGTGGGAGTAAAACAATGCCACCATTGAAGAATTAACATCAATATATATAGTTTCTCATGCGTGCTATACAGATTTTAATCTTAAACTAGTAATCTTTTAGTTGTGTTTCTACCAAAAAATCCGGTGTGTCGTGCTGCTCTTTTCCTTGGAAGAAATCTTAAAAAACCATGTCTTGGGTGCTCAAACTTGCGATGCGATACTCTTCTTATCTTACCTGTAATAGCTGGAAAAGAAAAGGCTAAGTGGCCTCAACCTTAAAGGAGTATCATAAGCCAACCACCTAAAGAGTACTCCCTTTAGCTTAGTGTGAGAAAAACATTATTTCAAGTAAGACAGAAAATTAGTTTTTACTTTTTCACAACATACAACTGGAATCTCCACACAAAATAATGTCCTTATAGTAGTTTGATAAATGCCAATAACCTACTACAAAAACTGTGTTTACATTAGGAATATAATAACACACATATTAGTAATCTTAAACTAATAATACACTACTCTAAAATCTGGAAAGTAAAAATGTCTGCTCTGGGTTTAAATTGCTGATTTTGGAATTCTGATTGAAACCACCCCAGAAAAGGAACTAGAGTTAACAGAAGCAATCCCATCACAATCTCATAACATCCATCCCATATATTGCCTTGTTAGTCCCTTTATAAGGCAGAATATGAATTGAAAATTCGTACTAAATTTCAGTTGTCCATGCCTGGATTCTCATTAAACAAAGAAGCATAAAATTTAACATACTATAATTGGGACGACAAGCAACAAAGCTCAGACCATTAACGGCATTGCCATGAGCACGGCTAAAGCTCAAGTATTGAAATTCACAGCTGATCAAATAAAAAAAAGTATCAACATTAATTGAGTGTAACCAAATATGCATCTATAACTTCTAAATATTTATAATAACAAATCTTCATCATCGGTTTCAGGGTCTGATTCAATGTCTTCAATAATATTATCAGCTAAGGTAACATCAGTACTGATAACATCGAGATCATTTCCTCTCCAATTTATAAAGTCTTCATCTTCCTCAAATGTACATGAGAAATTTTGAGCATCTTGTTGAAAAGTTTCTTCACTGACAACACCACCCGTAAAATAAGTAGAATGACCATTCAAGACAATGGACCAATTCGGATGAAGATTATCCTTGACATAAAAAACTTGTTCTACTTGAGATGCAAGTACAAATGGTTCATTTGTTGCTAGCTTTCGGTTAGTATTAACACTAACAACGCCATGTTTATCTATCTTCACTCCTTTCCCAATGTGATCAACATCCATCCAATCACATTTAAATAAAACAATTCGTTTGCCTTCGAGGTATTGAAGTTCTACTATTTCAGTCAGAACACCATAATAATCTATATTTTGACCATTCATTATTCCTCGTACTAAAACACCACTATTTTGTTTTACTCTATTTCCTTCCAATTGTTTAGTATGAAACCTAAAACCATTTATTTCATACCCTTTGAATCTTTGGACTCCATCAAAAGGACCTCTAGCCAAAGAATACAACCCGCTACTTGCATGAGAATTTTTTTTCTTGCGCATGTGCACGATCTACATAAAAATAAATAATAAAATAATGATGCTAAAGAAGTATTATAAATAACATTAAAAATACAATGAAAACTTACTCGATGGAAAAACCAATCATCGAAGTTCATGTTCCTATTGTTCTGCTCGTACTCACTGTTTAAAATAATCATAATAATGAGAAAGGGCTAACAAAATTAAATTCACAATATATAATACCATAAAGAAAAAATAACAACAACAACAATATGCCCAGTGTAGTCCCACAAGTGGGGTCTGGAGGGTAAAGTATACGCTGACCTTACCCATGCCTTTAAGAAGGCAAATAGG